ATCCAGGGGCAGCGGCCCTGTCCTGCACAGGGCAGGCACACTCAGCTACACCTGCCCTTTTCTCACCCTCTGCAAGGGAGGCAAAACGGCAAATATCAGTGAGAACAGGCTCGGCTGGAATCTCCCCTGGAGAGTGAGTCCAGTTGTGATGACAGGATGTTTGGGAAGTCTCACAAGGGGTTGAGCGCCGCATGTAGTGACTGGAGTTTGCACTGATTTCTTGTCCTTCACATGACAAGGCGGCCTGAAATTTAGTCTTTGCACCACTTTATCCCACAGTCTGTTTCACTGACATATTTTTGTGTTAATTTAGAGAAGAACATTCTGGCCGGAAGGGCRTATTTTCCCATTCCCTGCCAGTTTACATCTTACTTTTTATACCATGGTCAAACTTTTGCTCCCAGACACTCTTRGTAATGTTTGTCCCTATATCCTTTTGGTTACATATTCTTCTCCTAACAGCACACTACCTCATTTGTCATCCAATACTTTCCTTTTTTATTTTTCTTACTTTTTACAGATACTGCTGATAAGAGTTGGAAAGGACAAGAAGTCTGTAGATCTGACAGAAGACAATTGCTATTGCCTAACTCAATATATAGAAGGTTGTGTATGTGCTTTCATCTATATGTATATACATGCACATGTGTGTGTGTGTGTGTGTGTGTATTTTGTTTTTACAAGGCTTTTAAATGTCCTGTTAAACACTGACAATGCAAAACCAACAGCCCCGTGCAACTCTGGCAAGTTAAAAACTGTAGGTTGGGCAGTGAGCACCAACCTTAACAACAAAAAATAACGGCCTGGGCCTGGCCCAACTATTCTCTCATCAGTATGCAGCACCAGAGCGTAGGAGGAAGAAAATGAGGAGTGAGAGGATATAAAACAAACAGTGAAAAGGGAAAATGTCCATGTGCTGTGGCCTTCCTTGCTGCTCCTCGGAGCCCACCCGAAGCAATGCCGTTGTGGTGTGTGCAGGGCTGCAGAGGCCCATGGTAGCACGCATGCAGCCGAGCACATCTGGCCAGCACTTGCTGGCTTTTGTGCTGCTAGTCAGCCAATTGCATCCACGATGTCAAGCGAGTCTTCTGCCATCGTTGCAGAGTGGTTTATGGCTTTGCTCTTCCCTGGTAATATGTTCATGCCTCTAGCAAGAAACACGGCTGTCATTCTTTCATCTCGGCCTCCCYGCTTGCTCCAGCCTTCAGCCACACATCCCTCCATACCCAGCCAAACCAAGGTGAYTGGGTCAGTTACATTCAGCTAGAATTTGATACGAGTACTTTATCTGAAATACTAAACACCTTCCCATCCTAYGTCCACTCCGTTCAAAGTAAACCATATTTATCTAGGTGTGTAATACCGGTCCACAGACCTAGCTCTGGCATCAAAGGAGAAAACTGTGGCTTCAGTCCTTCCAGCTATAATACAAGATGTAAGTTCTGAAACACGTGTTAATGCTATTTCTTGGACAAGTTATAGCCCCGAGTTACATATGGAGGTGTAAGAAAAAAAAAAGAATTCATTTTTTCAGTTTGGCCTCTCTTATCCTAGCACATCTGTCCATTCCCTCTTTACTATTGACCATGTATTAGGAAAGATGCTCAGGACATAATTTCCTGCTGTTGTTAGTGCTCTTATTTCAATTATTTCTACTTTCCCAGTCTTATTAAAAATGAGGTTTCAACAAGGTTGGAAGTCTACAGAGGTACCATGAGAAAACTTCAGATAGAGAGGAGGAAAAAACTAGTTGAGCAGGCACATGTTTATGAGCTGGTCCATGTGTATGGCAGGAAAAGGGGTTATAGAAGACTCTCCCCATAGACATCCTGAATGACACCCAAGAAGAGAGATACAGCTTTGGAAATACAGCTGTACACACTGGAAGATGTGAGAGACTGGCAGAGTCAAATCGCTTCAGAAGCAAAAATTAACTGTGATTACTTGATGCAAGACATCACTCAAACCAATCAAATTGTTATTTTGGGAAATCATAAATTTGTATCCAGAGTCAGTTTGTCACTCATTAAAATCTTATAAGAATGATTAGGAAATGATCTTAATAAGTGAATGTTCTTCTCCTTTTCATTTAATAGCTTAAAATACAAGATGATATCATTTGGCTCTTTCATGATCCCTGACCACCGAACGGGTAATTATTTTTATTCTAGAGCTTGCTGTCCATCAGCAGAGCAAATCTTCACAACCTTCAGTCGTGCCAGGTGTCGTGGGCCTCAAGGGAGATGCTGAGCACCCAACCCACCAGTGATATGAAAAACTGCAGTGCYGTAGCTGGGATTGGGCCCCAATTTCATTCTTTCTGGATATGCAAGCCCAGCTAAAATGCCTTTCTGTGGCTGAGGAAGATTCCCCCAGAATGATACATCCCTAACTAATCGATGCCAGCTCACTGCCTGCTTCCCAGAACTACGCCCCAAGAAATGCTGAAGTGACCATGAAGTAAGGAGAGAAAAACGAGTGTGGGAAACCTTACGAAACAAATGAAAGAGGGGTAATTTAGAGCACCCTTGTGATTACTCTGCATTATAGGGYGAATGATTTGACAGTTACATGTAACAGATGGAAACTGGATACTTAAAGCCACTTCCATCAGTCTGTTTGGATCACTTGCAAAGCTATTCCTGCTAGGAAATCTCCTGCAGGAGGGACTTCACTGATCCTTTCAGGAGCTTTTCATGTGTGCTGCATATCTGCAGAATTGAACTGGGAATCTTCCTTTATTTTAGGGTACCTATTTGAAATTCACCCTTGTGAAAATGGACAGAGTCAATACTGCAGTATCACTTACATTGCATTTTGGAAGCAGGAGTTAAGTGTACCTGTATATATTTTTTTGACTACACAAGGCTGTATTTGCTCACAAGYATATGTCATATTTCTAAGTGACATATTCCTTTCTCATCAAGAATTACACGTATAAAATGATGGGACACGAAAGAAGTACAGACCACTCTGTATCTTCAAAATTAACAGGTAGCCCGCATTGGAGAGTACATAAACCAAATGTACCAGACACAAATTCCAGAACAAATTGTTTTGAAAATCTAACAATGCCAGGTGTAAGTTTCTATGACACAAATGCAGCAGTGAATACACTTTTCCTTTAAATTTTACTTTTCCTTACATGGAGCCACAGGCAATTGAAAAGCTGTTGAAATCCGTACTTCTTAGGACTTCTTTTCAATAGAATAACTACAGGGTACCCAAGGGATTCAAGTGCCCAACAGGTTAAGAGCAGTTTTATTTAATACATTGTCCTTCTTTGCTGAAAGAGAATGGTGATCTCTTTAAGAGACCTTTTTGATTTGCTTTCAGCTCATCCCCGCTTCACAGTGCAATTCTCTATTTCTTTCTCTCCATATTTAGAAAGAAAATAAATGCCAGTGTGACACATTTTCAGAAAGTGACAACATAGTTTAGAAACTGTCAGTACCTAATGAAGCATTTCAGTTCTATTTTATAAGCTGTGATTATCATGATCATTTTACTGATACATATACGAATTTGACATCTGCAGCCTTTTAGCCTTTCAAATAATCTGGTCAGCAAAATTACTAGTACGTAGGTCAATTTAACCATTTCTTTTTAGTCTTTTCTTCTTTTTTCCCCCCCCCCCCCCCTTTTTAGTCTTGTGCTTTGGGTACGTTTTGCCTCTTCTCCGCAGGAAACAGCACGGGGAAGCCTTAGCAGATACTCGGCAAGCTCAATTACAAGCTCAGCAGCTTCTTATAACTTGCCACGCACGCTCGAGGCGACGCTTCACGTAAGCAACACCGAGGGCAAGGCCAGGAACCCAGGAGCGGAGGCACAGGCCGGAGCTGCGGCCCCGGCTGCCGCTCAGCCCTCAACCCGCTGGCCTCGCGGTAACCCTCGTGGTGCAGGCCTTGCAACAGCGGTGCTGATAACGCGGCTGGGGGAACGGGCAGGGCAGCAGGCTGCAAAACCCCCCATGGAAATGGCCCCCGGCCTGCAGCTGCTCCGGGCCGGCCCGACATCCCGTTTGCACCTCAAGGTACAACCCGGCGCGTACAGGGATCAGCACCGAGGGACTCACCTTGGAAGGGGCCCGCGGAGGCCTCCTGCCCCAAACCATGCGCAAAACAGGTCCAGTTAGATCCATTCGCACTCACATTTGTCCAGGCAAGATCAGACTCTTGCAGATTTCCACAGCAGTGGCTGCACACTGTGCAGTACAATCGATTTCTATACATTGCTGCTGATAAATTTATATAGTCTCAGCTGCACAAGGAGTAAGGGAAGATATGGCAACAGCTGCATGGAGGCTTTCCTCTTGCACCACTGAAAAAAATTAGTTTGGGAGATTTAACATTCAGATATATCAGCTCCCCTCGCTGCTTTTGCTTTCCTTGGAAGAGAGCGGAGTTGGGCCCAGGTGTGACCCTTTAAAATAACTACTACACTTAATGAAGTGCCTCAACACGTGCATCACTTTAAGCACACAAGTGGTCTTAGCGAAGCTAAGATGCCTCCAAAACAGAGGAGAGTTGGATTTAATTGGTTTCACAAGACAACTGTGCGGTTGGGAATGCAGCACGCAAGGGGTCTTAGTGACAGTTTGCTTTCCTGCTCATTACCAAAATCCTCAAAATCCTCATCCGAAAGTGTCCACACACATTGATTACCACCAAAATGTTGCTGTTAGTCTCAAAGATAAGTCGCAGATGCTTCATTTGCGTAATGCTGCTATTTTCACTGGAAAACTAAAAGTTTTGAATTGAAAATGTACTATTGTTATATTGTTCCAGGCAGAAGATTTGTAACTAAATTTACAGTTTACTTTTCAAGCAATTTTCATGCCTTAAAAGCTTTTTCTTTTGTGTATGCGTGTTTATGATATACAGCTTGGTTCTGCCATTGTAGCACTCATTAAATATTATCTTTTCATGGAAATAAGCCTGTCTATTTTTTCCATTCGAAATCCAGGTGGCTACTCAGCACGCCAGACACAAAGAGAGTGCCCAGGTTGTTACATAACTCTGCACCCGAGTACAGCAGCATAACGTCAGTGTCGCACATGAGGATTTACAAGGTAAGTGGTTCACCATTTGGACACTTTTCCTGGATATCCTTGCTGCCTGCTGTCCAAGAAATGCCTACGTAGGCTGCACAGTGCTGATACTAGGTCTTACACTGCTAGTCCCCCAATCTGAGGGAAAGTTAGTGATTCATATAAATATATATGTGAGTGTGTGTATGTACACAGAACTACTCACACATATAAATATATATGCGTGTGTGTACACAGAACTACTCACACATAYGAAAAAGAAATAAATACCAAGTAGATTTTAGGAACAATTTAGAGGTAACTCTGCTTCCTGCAACTGATTTGTGCCGCTTCCTGGAAACCACCCACAGATAGCCAAGCACTAAAGAAACCTTGAAARCTGTCATAGCAACATTTCAGATTACAGTTGGAAAGCCTGTGATTTTGCAATATCGGTGCCTTGTTTCAAAACTGTCATCCAAAAATTCTAGCTTAACATCAAGCACCTGTTCAGCACTTTTCCGAATCAGGGCGAGTCTCAGTGACAGTCCTCCGTCCATGCTGCTACTKCACTACCAGTTTCTAATTTCTAGGATGTATCCTCAATAAAAATTGGCCAGTCAAATTACACTCTAATGATGAATTCATAATGAATGTTCTTGAAATTAAACATGCGCTCTCTCTCTCTCTCTCTCTTTCACAGGAAACTATAATATAATCTTCATAAAGCAGTACTCACAGATGGGAACTCTTTCCCCTTTTCAGTCTTCCTTGTAAACAGATTTTTCCTATAAGAAACGAGGAGCTGAAATACATTTCTGGAACAGCGAGCACAAACCCCGTGTCACATTTCAAGGATCTTGTTATCATTTGTTCAGCTACTGTACCAGGGAGATAACCACGCGTGCCCCACGTACAGCAACTCTGGTCAGAAGGTCCTCTGCATTATTGGCAGTTCATTGCCCCACAAAACTTACTGCTACGTGCTGCAGCTCTAGGAGGGATGTACAATATATTAGCTACTAACTGAGGGGCAGATTCTCAGCTGTGGTAGGGACAGAGCAATGATGCCCTTTTAAACAAGTTGGTGTTCTGATTCAGAAGCCTCCAAGCGGGTCTGTGATGCAGGGGCGCAGTGCCAGAGCTTGCAAGCAGCAGAACAAATGGAGGAGAAAGAAGCTGCCTGCCTCTAATGCAGGAGATTCGAATATTGAGTGCTGCTTAAATTATACATGATACACGGCTGCTTCTTTGTCAAAATCTCCCGGGTGTCTCTTTCCCTACTTTTTAATCTTGGCAGAAGCAACATCGTGACTTTAACAAAGCTCTTATGAAGGAGCTCCGGACAAGTCCATGAGAAGCTGATTCAGAAGGCCACAAACACTGGAAAACTCCTGTGGGTTTCTCCATCACATCTTGGTGGAACACATTTAAATGTGATGAGCCCATTGTTTCTGTCTCCCTATATTTGCCGAACGCTTCCAGATTGAAATTTTATAAAGTGGGGATTCTGCCTCTCCTTTTTTCCCTTTTTCTCCCTCACGCAAACCAAAACACAGACACGCGCGCACACAAAGTCACAGCTTGTCAACAGCTTTAGCAAAGTAAAATACAAATGATAATTAGAAACACGTGACCCTAGAAAAGCACCAYAGAAAGTAAAAGGTCATCTTTTTTCCAAATGACCTAATTAGAAAAGCCTGGAGTGTTGGCTACAATATAATGGTTTTACACAGCTTTTTAACACAGACTTCCTGTTTTAAAACATGCACAATTCAGTTGTCCTCCAAAATACGAATTGGCATTTAATGCCAGCAAAATCAGGTCTCACAACACCCCCTGCCTCGAGCGATCCGCAGCCCGCTAGCTCGATCAGCTGAGCGCTTTGGATTTACCCCCCAGAACGGCGCCGTGGAGCCCGGGGCCAGGATCACTGCCTGTTCCCAGGAGAGGCTGGCGCAGAGGAGAGGGGCTCGTGCCTCGTCCTGCTGCTGCCCCACGCACCGCGTGGAGAAGGGACGGGCAGAAACTCCCACCCTCCATCACCTCAAAGGGAACCGTAGCYGGGGCCATGGCTGGGAAATGTGCTCAGTTTAGTTTCAGCTCCCTCCGTCCTGCTCTGTGSTCCTGTTTAGCCCTGATATTTTGCTTTCTGCCAGCGCACACACATTCCCTTTACTTCCATAAAGCTATTAATCCCAACTTATTCACCGGGTAGCAAAGCTATATTTAGTTTATTGCTTTTCCCCATAAATCCAACCCTGCAGGCTCCTCAATTATAAATTGTTTAATGGTGGCAAATATTCCCAAGCCATAGGGCACATCCCCACCGTGGTGGAAATGCTGGGGACCATAGGATCTTCTCGGGACGGCGCTGACGGGAGGCTGTGAGCCTGATGCGGGGCTGGAGCTGCATAACTGGCCATGGGAGGTAAAGCCATATCAGGCCTTACAAGAAGCAGCCAAAAGARGTTCCTGCAAATGCAGCTGGAAAGAAATCCTCGTTTTCACGTGACGGGCACACTTAATTCTTTACAGCCATTGTAAAGGTGGGAGGAACATCTAAGTTTGTGCATCCGTATCTCACGGGGCTTAGAAGTTCTCCACTTGCAGTGGTTTCATTGGGAATTGACGGCATTGCCCATTTCTCAGGCACTCTCAGTGTCCCCTAGGACTGAGCTGGATGAAATGGCATGGAAAAATAATATATGCTCTGTGTGTGTAATGTTCTGCTTAGCCATTTTTTCCAAAAGTACAAAAGCATGTGATCTTCACTGAAAATTATGTACAAGCCAAGTTTACAGCCTTACACTCAAACCCCCTTCGAGAGTCTGGAATGAAAAAAAAAGATATATTTATCTGGTGTGTGTGTGTGTATATATATATATATATATATGTATATATATATATTTCCCTGGCTTCATTGTTCTGGAATGACAGAATTCAGTTGTTATTTAGTTGTTTTGTTTTTGGTTTGCTCTGGCTTTAGAAAAAATGTCAAATTTTAGCCTGAAAGTGAACTTTACTATAAAACATACTGAAAATAAAGGTTGAAAAGTAAAAGGATCTCCTGAATCATGACAATAGTAGTGATGACAGTACAATAATATTGTGTTTCAATGATGGTTTCTTCAGGCTACTACTTCTAGCAACGCTGGCTATCTCATCCATAATGAGACTGGGACACTCAGATATGCCAAGTGCTCACAGTACATAACGTGGAATGGAAACAGAAGCATCCACAAGATACTATATCATTTGTAATATAAGTTATGGGAACACTTCAGGTTAGAGAGTGCCATCCCACTACAGCAGGGGAGTTACCCGTCTGAATCACCCATATGAAGCACTAAGCATGTGGCCATTAGCCTCAAGAAGCCTCTTCTTTTTTCCCCCTCTCTCCCCATGTGCAAGCAGCAGCTCTCACCACAACAGAATCAGGTCCCTTTAAAGCATTCACACCTGCATGGGGCTGTCTGCTGATCCGGGGAGAAGCGGGTCACTAAGACAGAACTTGGTTTCAAAGACTGAAAGGTACTAATTTTACATGCCAGTAAATCCATCAGATCGCAAGGAGACTGAGGAAATGCTTTTATCTTTAAAATGACAGGCATTAATAATGTTACCAGAATTTCCTTATATATAACTTTAATAGTTTGAGGATTCTTAAATATCTGAACAATGTGAGAGCTTCTGAAATGTAAAAGACAGTGGCCCCTTCAGAGTAACTAGTATTGCCAGCATGGGTGTGGGAAGATGAAATATGTTCTCATGAAAAGGGTTGGACAGAAAGAGAGAAAAAGCCATAGGCATCTAAGGAGAGGTATATTATGTAGACACTTGTACCGACAGTATTTTAACTGTTTCTGAAAGAGGAAAGACTAGTCCAGGGATGGGACGGCAGCCACGCATTCAGCCAGGGGACATTTGTGCTGAATTCCTCTGGCAAGGTGCACATTCACAAGCACATGCACTCGTGAAGACCCACGGTCAACCTGGGAAAGATCTGTCTGCCTCATCCAGTTCTGAACCATCACCAGGTAAGTTACCACCAGTGGCAACAGCACTGTGTCTGTGCCACCCTGATGCACTCGATGTCAGCAAAACCACGGCATGTGGATTGCAACATGGCCAGTGCCATCCAGATTGCAAAGTCAATGGAAAAATTACTCCTGACTGCAAAATGAGGCAACAACCAAGCYACAAGCGCCAAACTTCCTAAATGCTAAAGCACTGCTTATCGTGTATTTCTAGTATATACCTGCTCGGCCCAYGGCAGTAAGGACGTGAGAAGAGGCCTGTCTCCCTTTGCTCAAGACACTAATAACCTCCTGGCACGGGGCCACGCTGCGTCTCGGCTGGATGGAGCTCAGGCAAACATGCCATGGTCTGAAAGGAGGCCAGTCCCGCCACGAAACCCCCCACCTTGGCACACGAGGAAGATGCCTCACAGGCAGGACAGAGGACAGTGATGGTTGCTGATAATGCCTTGCAGATAATATCTGCTGGTTACAGCAGGCCCTGTAAGAAAGAAAGAAAGAAAAGAAAGCCTTCAGCAGCCCATCTGAATCACTACGTTTTTGTTCTTTTCTTCCAAACCTAATGGCGTTCAGGGGAGCAGTTGGGTAAGGGAGCTCTGCAGGGAGTTAGTGTCACTGCTTTTTTGTCTTCCCACCTTACATAATCATCTATCTAATATAGGAACTATATTAGCTCTCTAATATAGGAGCTGAATCTTTGCCAGAGCATGGCAGAGCTCAGAGAGTGGGGAGGAGAGATCCCAGAAGCAGCAAACCACACAACGTCTTGGTTTTGCAGCGTGAATTAGTCACTCCTGCCACACACCTGCTTCTCTTTAAAAATCGATGAAAAAGAAAACCTTGGTAAAATGATACAGGTGAATGATGAGATTTATTTACTGAAGTTCTTGTAATCTGAACTTCTGTTCTTTAAGATACTTTTCATTAGKATCATGTTAGGAAAGCACACTGAGATTTTTATAACAGCACCAGCGATTCATTGCTTTTGTTAAAGGTTATTGGAAAGTGTGCACAGAGCAGCTCCATAGAAAACCTACAGGATATCCCATTTGGTGCACATGATTCAAGCTCACTGCAGACTGTACAGTCACAGCTTCCCGTTTCTGCTGGAAATACTACAAGCTATTATATTTTTTATTAGCTATAATGTGCAGATATGGAAACTGAAGGATACACCGCTCCTTCCACTTCTCACTTCCAGTCRCCCACTCTCTGTTTCTTTCCCTCTCTCACACACACGCTTCATTGATCTGAAGCCTACATTTATTTCCATCAGAGAACAGATTTGGTTGATCACAGAAGTTGCTCATTCCAGAGTGGAAAGATTTTTGCTTTGTTTGGCAGCAAGAAGCATTTTTACCAGGTCCGGCCTTTCAGTGCTTGTGTTTCATAAGCCGACTGCGTGGCTTCATGGGGGCGCTGGGAGCAGGGAAGCAGCAGCCTGTTACCCTGCTGCACGAGCAGCACTGGGACATGAGGCTCTCCTCATACCGACTGGGTTGCTGCCCCTGAACCCGGTTTGCAAAGTCTTTTAATTTGCAGAAATTCTGCTTGTGAAATAGTCAGTTTTCCTCATGGTCTGATTTTTACTTTACCCAAGCCAGAAAAGGGGCAGTGTGTGTTGCTCCTTTTTGAGGACACGCTGCAGGGTTGCAGGCTCTGCCCCAGGGACGAGCTCGGTTGTGCCAACCAGCCAGAGCCCCCGGACCGCCTGCGGTACGAACTCAGAACAGGCAGAGAGCGAGCACCAGCCAGCCGGGAAGATCCAAACCCAGCTCCCGGGCGGACACACGAGCAGACAAGGAAAGGGCACAAAGGTTATCGGCGCCC